TTAGCAGCCTTCCTTCTGGCCGAGGATGTTTTTGGTCAGGGGGGTTCGCCAGCTGTCTCTCCAAATTCGTGCACATAGTCACGAAAGAGCCTACTACTTGCATAGCCTGCATGACGAGGATGTTTTTGGTCAGGGGGGTTCGCCTCCGGATACGGCAAGCTTGAAGACTAGGGAAGAAAAACTTACTTGTCTCATGCCATCCTCCAATCGCGGCGCCTCTGCGGCGGGCAGGTCCGCACATTCGACCCGTGGGGCGTCGAACGTGAGCAGGGCGTGACCCTCGAGCACACCCTCCAACTGGCCAGCTCCTTGCCCTTGATCTTCATACCCCTCCTTTAATAGTTCGTCAATGGAGGACAGTTCATGGATTGCGGGCAGGCTGAATGACAGGGGATCGACCTCTACCACCTTGGGCTCCCCCCGCTTTCTCTTCTGATAGGCTGCGGCTTGGGCCGAGAGGGTCCTCTTCCTCGAGCCCTCTGCATGCGCCCTCGCCAGTTGACTGGTGGGTGCTCGCCCCACTACGGGCTGGGGAGTTTCTTGTTGCCTCTCCTCCGGAGATGGTTCCTCCTCGTCTGAATCATCAAAAACTGAGCGTTTGCCCATCAGATTAGCAAATATACCTATCAATAGAAAAATAACCAAAGTTAGTCTTCGGATAAAATACCTTGGTTGCTAGAGCTGATCGTGTCGCTCAACGACGCGATTTGCCTATATTTATAAATCTTCCTCCACCCGACCAGTTTCTTCTCTAGGTCTTCTCTCCGGGCCTCCATCTCCTTCTGATCCTTTTTGGTCCACGGATCTAAGCTGACTTTTCTGCCCTCGTCCGGCTTCCATGGATAAAGGTCAGCCAAATCCGAGTCCACGTAAAAGAAGCCCGACCTCCAATGCTTAGAACTTTCGTTCTTGGCTACTAATTCTTTGGAAGGACCGTTGGGGTTTTTAGTGAAGCTGAACCACCCGGGGAAACTCTTCCCGTATCAGACAAGCTTATAAAAGCACCTAAACAAGAAGAGGTCCGGCTCTACCTTCGTCTTGTTACACACGTGGACGAAAGCTAATACTATAGTTATGAGGTTCAGGGTGTATTGGGCTAGAGGACGGCCATAGGCTTCCACTGTTGTCCTATACATGGGCATAAGGGGAAAGCATAGCCCGTACTCTAGAAATTTCTCATAAATGGTGATCTTCCTCGGAGGGGGAGTACTGGCTCTCGCAAAGCTTTCTGGTAAGGTGGGGTTAATAGACGTAAGGCTATAGTGGTTTTCTAAGTCATTTAACCTATCCTGGTTCAATGAGCATCGAACATCCTCCACTCTAACCATTTCCTTAGCCATATTGGAAAACGAATCCGAGGAAAGGAAAAAGACTTACACGTTGATTGGTTGCTCTGAAACTGAGATCGGTCTCCGGCTGAGAGTTCCGGTGCTTGACGTTTAGCTATACCACTTTGCGAAAAATGAGAAGAAGAAAACGTTGATTCTTTTTTGAGTCTGGACGAGAAAAGGGAAAAGTGACTTCCGGTGCCCTTGGGGGGGTATTTATATACTTCACGGGAACTGAACAGTCTCCTCGGTTCTCCATAAGGCGCCATCATTGCAGCACGGTCTCCCAGGTAATCCCCTGCGTCCAACCAGTTTGGGCGGGAAAGATCCAGGAGCGTTGGATCTAGGGTACTCACTGGGCTAGGGACTTCTTTGTGTCAACCCCAGTTTGGCCTTGCTAAATTAGGCTTGACAGGGGCACTTGTTGAGGGTAAAATCCTGAGTAGCCTATTGGATCCCACGGTTTGGGCTTGGGTGTAAGCCCAAACTGTTCCTTTCTTCCCCATTAAGGCCCAACCGGCCCCTTTGGGGCTATGGTTATTTACGTGTTTACCCCCCTGACGCGGAGACCACAAGTATTGTCCCATTGGGACCTATAAATACTCCTTGTACATTTATTGCAGAGGCAATTCCACACGACCGTTTCTCTCTCTAAATGTGTTAATTGCCTGCTTCTCTTTTTAGCACTGACTTAATTTTCAGAGTGCTAACCTCCGTCTTGCAAGTTCCTGTCTAGGACGGACCGTTGACTCTCCGCCTTCGAAATTTACCCTCGACAATCTACATATCAGTAATAAATTTTGTCCACGTTTTCAAGTTCAAGGCCATTCCGAAAACATTTTTCATAAGAATGAGCAATTCAACACCGATTTAAATATGGTGTGTATGAACCTAAGTTACAAAGGAAAACAGAATAAAAGGTCGTACAAAGACATTCAAGTATATGTAATGCATTTCTATAAGGAAGATGAAGCAAAAACTTACTTCATCAATTAAAAGAAAAGTACCATCATGTGCCTTTCCAAACTCTTATTTGGTGTTCACCAATACTAGGCCATACTACAGGTACAATACATTTCAATTTACCACATGCAATTTTTGTTTCTTTTTCTATTCCACCTTAAACTTGCACCAGTTCAGTACCTATTCAAATGGACAAATAACATATTCAAACAGCACTAAGTTACCAATTTAATTATTTTGTTTTTCATCAAACATAACCAGTATATGTTATCCAGGCAAAAAGTTATCCTAGCATTCTTGAAAAAGTTCATTTTGCTATTCGTGCATGATTGTATCTTAGTCAACTCTTAACTAGAAACCAACATTATATAATACTCCCTCCGTCTCATAATTATTGTCCAGTTTGGATTTTCATTTCTAGTTTAAATTGTTTTGAAAGTGAAATCTCAAACTGAATAATAATTTTGAGACAGAGGGAGTACTACATAAGTTACTTTCCATACTCGAATAACCCTAGTGCTATTGGACTGGTTTCCTCATAATTTGCCTGAGTCATTACCACTTCGAATAATCTGAAAATTAAAGCTTTAATCAATACATTGTAACCGAACTTGAAAACATTTAAATGCTATAAAGTTGCTCTGTACCAGAAACAAAAATAGGACACTCTATCAATAGATAGAACACATTTCATAGAAACGAAACGGAACCCTCTTCTGGGGTAACATGAACGTCATGATCAGTAACCTTTGTAGTGGGTGTGAGTATATTTGCAGGTAGTTTTTGATTTTTTTTTTTTGACCGTGCCTGTTATGATATTGTTAAAATTATAAAACATACAATAAGGTTAAGAAATGTCGTAAAATCCTATACCATCAGGGAATGCATTGCTATAGTAGTTTCGAGTGCCATTCTTGTAGAATTTCCACAACGACGTGTCCGTGCTTCCAGTCACAAAGTCCCAAACTGAAATGCAAAATTAAATCATTGTTTTAATACGAGTGATGTGATTGTAACTACAAAACTACAATATTTAATCATGTCATTCAAGTTCAAATTAGATTACTCCATGCAATATTATAAACAAGGAACATCATCTCACCAACAAACTCAACGGAAAAAACGAAACATTTATATGCAATGGTCACATTCTCAAGCTGCGTTTGGAACAATGTGCTGAGTTTGATTAAACCACTACAAACTTATCTCATTAAACACCTGTCACAGAGTGCATAGTTATTATATTTATAAGCACACTCCTTTTCTTCCCATTTCATTTTTCATCCTTTTTTTTTTCTTTGCAAGTACTAACTTTTAAGAATTGGAAGAAAAATTTGCACGCATGTCCCTTAAATGGAATTGAAGCAAGAATTCTATCGAATGCATTCTGTCTGTTTGTTGTTACCAGAATAAGAAAAACACGTCAATCATAAATGCCTTCGACCTAAAGGGAAATTCTCTATCAGAAACTGGCAAAGGACATAAGAAACTAGTATATTTGATTCGTCATAGTTTCCCCTCCCTCTCCCCTAAGTCCTTCCTCCTCCCCGTATTAAAGTAACTCTGCAGTAGAGCCAATATCTATCCAAAAGCTACAATTTCCAGCTTCTCTTGTGCTCATAATCAAATAAATATCCACTCATATATAGACTGTTGGCAAAAGGACAAGCGCCTAGGAAAGAGTAAGACAGTGCTTGGAGTGTTTAAAACTGCTCCAACACATTGCTCAGCCATTGTTTGTGTTCCTTTTCAGTGAGAAACACAGAATGGGGAGCAAATGCTCCTTTCTTTCTTGGGTTTTCCGTTTTTGTGTTTATTAGCCCAGACCACATCCTGGAAAACCAAGCAACAACAGTTTACTGATTTAGTTCATCAATTACTGCTATAGCGATTTGAATGTATTGATCTTAAATTTTCGTTCTAAATACATTAAGAAAAAGTTCGGTTAAGTCCTCCAATGATTCCTTTTCAGTGTGTTTTTTTCTTTTTCACATCAAACATTTGGAAATTTGCCAATTGGCGTATAAAAATTGTAACATCCAAAATTATTGTCCTGTTTGGATTTTTATTTTTAGTTCAAATTGTATTAAAATTGAAATTTCAAACTGAACCATAATTTTGAGACGGAAGAAGTATATGGAAACATCCAGTCACAAAAAAAATTCCTTATCACCGGCTTCCCGACGAAGACGCCGAGAGAAATTCCGGTGCTGGCAGGCGGTGGTAGAAGAAGAATAATAGTACTGGAGTGCTATAGAACTCAAAACGAGAAAAACTGAAAACGCGCATGCATACGGCGTCGTTTGAATTTCCATACCAGTCAATTCGTTAAATTACGCTTTAGCCCCTTCTATTCACCGGTATAAGTTTCAAAAACACAGTGAGATGAGCACAAAGTTAAGAGAGAGAGGGGAAACCAGGTAGAGAGAGAGAGATTCATAGAAGAAAACTTTGAAGCATAAACGGAGGAGGAAGAATAAGAGGGAGAGAGAAAGAAAAAAGAACGAATTCTCTCTACTTCAAGTTCAAACCCCTCAAAATCTCGACCATCTCTCTCTCCAATTCGTTATCGGAACCCTAATCCCACTCGCATTCATCTTGCCTCAATGTAATTACGTCTTCCGGGTCAAGCTTGTGTAAGAATTCAACGGAATTTTGGAGTGTTTTATGGTTGGGGGATACGTATTGGTTGAGTTTTGAGAGTGGAGGATGGCGGAATTAGGGACGGAAACGGTGGATTTCTCCACTTTGGTGGGACGGGCGGCCGAGGAATCCTACCTCTCATTGAAAGAATTAGTGGACAAATCCAAAAGTTCCGATGTTTCGGACTCGGAGAAGAAGATTGCGATTCTGAAATACGTTGTCAAGACTCAGCAGCGTATGCTTCGGCTCAATGTCCTCGCCAAGTGGTGCCAGCAGGTCAGTTTCTTTCTTCTTATTTTTATTTATTTATTTATTTTTTTGAGCTCGTAGATGCATGTTTTGCTGTATTTTTGTTTTAATTTCAATCTAAAGTTGAGGAATAAGAGTTGGTTTCTCCCGTAGTTCTTGGAAGATGGGGTGAAGTGGAAGAAGCTGGGGTGTTCCATTTATAAATTGATTGGAGCGGCAAGTGGTAGTTATGTTAAAAACCTTGTTATTTAGTGTGACCGCAAGTTGAATGTAGGAATTGCAGTTTGGAGTAAATAAGATTTTCGTTATTTTTTATCCTTTTATTATATGACTTTCAAGAATGGTTAAGCGTTACTCTCTGATCAGTTCAACATTGTATTTTCTGAACGATAGAAGCTGAAGTTTGTTCGTCCAGTAAAAAGTCAGTGGGGATTTATATTATGGAGGTTTCGAGCCAGTAGTGAAATAAGAGTTATTGAATGAATAAATGTTGGTGAAAAACTATGGCTCTAGTTCCACTGTTGAGAGATTGGAAATGGTTATAAACTTTTTAACATTCTTTATTTGAATGTGAAGTGGGAGTTGATACTGTTAAAGTAGACTAAGCATGTTATTTGGACATGGTATCTTCTAATAATGGTGTCCACTTGTCATTCATATCAGTATTAGTTGTGTTAGTTGCATTGTGGAAGCGTGCAAGCCCAGTGATTATGAGTTTATTAACTATTTGCTGAATTGGCAGTGGACTTGACGAATAGTGTTTCAGGAGGAGAAAACTGAGTAAAATTAGATAGATAATGAATGATACTTTATGCACCTTTTCGATAGTCATTAGAATTGATTTGAGCGTAGAATTCAGGTGTCATCAAAGTTTTTGTTAGTGTTTAGTGGACATAATATAATTGAATTTGTTATGGTTCTCTGTATATTATCTGTGCATGGCTCAGTATGACGCATCCTCTGTGTGTTTCCAAGGGCTAGACCTGTTGCCCAATTCACATAATTGTTTTCATTTAGTATCCTGTGTTACTGACACATCTATGTTCTCTTTGCTAAGAATCAACTCATTGAAATGGTCTTCTAGTTGAGATGTCTCCTTGTGTATTAGCTTATTCTGCATTTAAAGGATTTGATTTTGAGGAATGAATAGCTCAAGTATGACTAGGTTCTTTACTAACTTTTTCTTTTGCTTTCTCTGGTACCTGCAGGTTCCGTTGATACAGTACTCTCAACAACTTGTATCGACTTTATCGAGTCACGATACATGTTTCAGTCAGGCTGCAGATTCAATGTTTTTCATGCATGAGGGTCTACAGCAAGCTCGTGCTCCTATATATGATGTCCCGTCTGCTATTGAGGTTCTGCTTACTGGGGAGTACCATCGTTTGCCAAAATGTATTGAAGATGTGGGCACACAGAACACATTGAATGCTGATCAGCAGAAGCCAGCTTTAAGAAAGCTAGATATGCTTGTCAGGTCCAAACTACTCGAAGTCTCACTTCCTAAAGAAATATCCGAAGTGAAGATTTCAGATGGTACAGCACTACTCCGTGTGGATGGGGAGTTTAAGGTTCTTGTCACCCTTGGTTACCGAGGGCATTTATCTTTGTGGAGAATTTTACACTTGGAGCTGCTTGTTGGTGAGAGGACTGGGTCTGTGAAGCTTGAAGAAATGCGTCGGCATGCTCTTGGTGATGATCTGGAGAGGAGAATGGCTGCTGCAGAAAACCCCTTCGTGATATTATATTCTATTCTTCATGAATTATGTATTGCACTTATCATGGATACTGTTATAAGACAAGTACAAGCACTTAGACAAGGAAGATGGAAAGATGCAATTAGGTTTGAGCTTATAACTGATGGAAGTTTTGGACAAGGAGGAAATGTTGGTAATGCACAAACTTTGCAGGATGGAGAAACTGACACAGGTGGTTTGAAAACTCCTGGATTAAAGATTTTGTACTGGTTAGATTATGATAAAACCTCTAGTACGCCAGAAGCAGGGTCATGTCCCTTCATCAAAATCGAACCTGGTCCAGATCTGCAAATTAAATGTCTCCATAGCTCTTTTGTTATTGATCCTTTGACTGGAAAGGAGGCAGAGTTTTTCCTTGACCAGACCTGCATTGATGTTGAGAAATTGCTTCTTCGAGCTATTTGTTGTAACAGATATACTCGTTTGCTTGAAATTTTTAAAGAGCTTGAGAAAAATAATCAGATCACTCGAGGTCCAGGAGACATTCATCTTCAGACCCAATTTGACGAAAATGACATGAAGAATGGAAAGGTACCAGTTTCTTTACGATTTTCACCTTATTGCTGAATAATTTTCCTGTAGAATCTTATGTACTGAGGATATGTTAAAAGTTTCATATGCTGGGTATGATCACTTGTTTGTTTCTTTTAAACATTAATGGACCTATAAGTTGCTGAATATCTACGACACACCTGGAGATTGGCCAAATGCATCCCCTTTTGCCAAATTGCACTGGAGCAAGTGTTCTCTGTTTTTATGTGATATTTTTTTTTATTTCTCTTTTAATGGAGTTATTATTTGATGTTGCAACTAAATTTTTCTTTTTCAAATTATTCATGAATGACAGCTAGAAGTTTCCTATCATCTTTTTTCTTTTTGGTAAATAAGTATGAAAAGAAATTCAGAATGTTATGGAATCACGCTCTACTCTCCTGTTCAGGACCATGAGTTTGTTACCAGGAGATATGAAGGTCAAGAAGTCTTGCTGGTTCGTGCCTATGGCTCTTCCTTTTTCACACTGGGAATAAACATCAGGTTATTCTTGCTCTGCCTTCTTTTGTGATTAAGCTTATGGTTGTTTGTGGCTGGTTGAATTAGTGTTCTTTTGATGTCTATGCTGGTTTAAATCTTCATTGTTAAGTAATCTCCTAATGTATTTTCTTACTGGGTACATGGTTAATTAACTCACAAGTAAAGAATTGGATTGTAGTTTCTTATTTGAACGAGTAGGTTGAAGTTCCTAATTTTCTGTAATTCCTTTTTACCTCCTCATAGAAATAACGTGTGATTGTAGAATGTACTATTTGGGGGAGAGAAGGGAATAAGAGATCAAGGGTTATGGCCATTTTTTAATGATTCTCAACCATATGTGGGAATAAGTGATACAAGTTCAAGTGAACATATACCGTTGCATTCTCATCTTTCCATTAGATCTTGTGCATAACCATGTCTCCTGCCCAACTGTTAATTGGATAGTACAGTTGCCAGAATGCATGTCACGAAAATTTAGGTACTTTGTCTTTTCTGTCACTGAAGTTCCAATAAAACGCGCCCTCCTGGAAAGTTTTAATAGTGTGGAAAGTTGTCCCACTCAAGTATTGTCTCTTTGTGAGGGAGGTAATTTGATGGAGTATAAGGGTAAAACATGCCCAAGGACAACTTCTTTGTGTTTATATTTTGTTCAGATTTTGCGAGCTTAAAGTTTATTGTCTTGTTTGATTGCTTAAAATCAGAATATATGAGTCAAACAAGAATTCAACCTTGTTCAATTGGCTAGCCAAACTTGAAAAAGCTTTTGCTCAACCACCAGGCTTCTAGAATCTTGAAAAGCCTGATTGGGAGGTCTGGGAAAGGCTGCTTCTTCCTACCCCTTGTTCCCAAACAGATTATCTTTGGCTTCATGGTTGACTGGATTTTGCATTGATTTGCTGATGAAACATGTCTTTTCTGAACCTAAGACAACAGTATATGCCAGAATAATGATTTTTTTATCTTCAATTATTGTTCAATAAACAGCATGCCATTGTTCCCCGTGGTTTTCTTTTTAACTCTTCTATTGTGTATGCATGATCAATTGTTCTTCATTTCTCACACATGGAAAATTGGATCCTTTCTCTAACTTCCAGGAGTGGCCGTTTCCTTCTTCAATCATCCAAGAATATTGTGTCACCAACTGAATTGTCAGATTGCGAAGATGCTCTGAATCAGAGAAGTATGACAGCTGCTGAAGCTTTTATAAACTTAAGACGCAAAAGTATTCTTCACTTGTTTGCTTGTATTGGAAGGTTCTTGGGTTTGGAGGTGCGTGTAACTTTACCTTCTTAATGAATGGTCATTGTGTCTACTACATTTGCGTTCTTTGTTGAAACATGATGGACCCTGTCTGTTCTTAGTTTCCATTCTTAAAGCTGAAGGTGGAAGTCATTTGATATTGTAAGGTTGGATATGGGAATGACTGTAGTAGAAGGTTTACCTGAGGAAGTGATGAGAACATGGCCTGAATCATAGGAACGAGAGACACTGCAGACATGAACCTAAAAATAAAAGGAAACCTCTAAGAAAGAATTTAACTGCTTGTAAGACTACTTTTCTTAAACCTAATATGAAGCTCCCTGTACTTCTAGAACCTTCCTGCATCAATTCTCCCCTCCGTGAAACTAAACCTAAATGCTTTCTGATCTTCTTTCTTCTCTCCAAGCATAAACTTTAAAATACTCAAACTGTAGAAGAGAACTAATGTGACTCCAAAGATACGAACATAAGAGTAAAAGAGAACCTCTAAGAAGGAATTTAACTGCTTGTATTTTTCCTAAAACCTAATGTGAAGCTGGCCGCACTTCTTGAACCTTTCTGCATCAGGAGGCGCTGTTATAATTGGCTCTTGACCTAGATCTAGTTTTTTTCAATTAATGACTCACTGTAGATATCATTTGCCTTGAGCGGTGCAAGCTCAGTAATGACTGCTAATTGCCAGGATACCTGTCACTCACACCTCAAGCTATTAAATAATTCTGACAATCCTTTGTTTGTTGCTTGGTATCTTGTCTTGTCATCCAAAGATTTTTATATTACCAAACTCATGGTTTAGTGTGCTTTTTTGCATTATGTTGCAGATTTTTGAGTGTGGTGTTGCAGCAGTGAAGCTTCCCAAGGATATTTCACATGATTCTATGTTGCTTATGGGTTTCCCAGACTGTGGGAGTTCCTATTACTTGCTAATGCAACTTGATAAAGATTTTAAACCTCTATTTAAGTTACTGGAGACTCAGCCAGATCCATCGGATAAAGCTGAATCTTTTGGCAACCTGAATAATGTTTTTCGTCTGAAGAATGTTGACATTGGGCAGATGATAATGTTTGAAGATGATCTCAATTTAAGCCTACTTGACAGTAGAAAACTGTTTTCAGTTTTGCCTAATCTTGTCCCTAAGCATGCTTCTGAACAGAGTGTTCTGTCTGAGGTTAGCATGGAAGGGTCTGCCCTTACTTCTGGTCTTCAGTCCAAATTTTCTTCCATGGTGGATGAAGTCTTTGAACTAGAGAAAGGGTCCCTTGTGCCTACTTTCTCTAGTCAGGGCCCTACTTCAACTTATGGCAGTTCTGTTGTAACTCAACTTGGTACCACAGCAGTGAATGGTCATTCTACAAACCTGCAAACAGCATCCCCTAAATGGGAGGGTAGCATGCAGTTATCACAGCATAGCAATCCTTCCAAGATATCAGGTCTACCAGCCAACTATGGTTCACACTTGATTCAGTCAGGTTCTACCGGTTCCATCTCTGCCGGCTCTGGAAGGAGAGAGTTTAAGAAGTTGTCAGCTTCAAAATCAGATCAGGATTTGACTTCACTTAGGTCTCCACCAGCACTGGATGAACATCAGTTGGCTACATCTGGAATTTCAATGTCTCGGCACCTTTCCTCATCCCCTCAAACAGGCCTTCATACTTCTATGGTAACTGGAAGACCTGGTCTGATGAAGTCACCAGGGAATGCCACACCTCGAAGTCATTCAGTTTCTGGATTCAATTCGTGGATAGCGTCTCCAGTATGTAAGATACAAACTTTCTTTATCTTGTTGAGTGTTTCGCTTTTAAATTTATTTGAATTAGCTCCCATGATAATATGATATTCTATTACCTTTAGTTTTAAAAGGTTCAGTTTCCCTTTTTCAGCCCAGGCAGTGGATGCAACACACTTGAACTCAAATGTTGGTTCTGTACCAAGACAGGATAAACTTACAAGAAAGCGTACACTATCAGATCTCATGAGTTCTCTCCCATCACTCCAAAATGCGGAGCCTGTTGGATATTACAAGAGAAGGAGATTAATGGAATCAAAAACTCAAAAACCTCCTCAAAATTTACTTGTGTCGGAACTTTCTCGTAAAACAGATGAATATAGTTATGCTGATCTTGTTGCGGAAGCAAACAAGGGCAATTTACCCTCCTGTATTTATGTTTCTGTTCTTCTTCATGTGATCAGACACTGCTCACTTTGTATTAAGCATGCCCGCTTAACGAGCCAAATGGACGCACTTCATATTCCATATGTTGAAGAAGTGGGTCTTCGGAGCGCATCCTCCAACTTATGGTTCCGTCTTCCATTTGCAAGAGGTGACACTTTGCAGCATATATGCTTGCGGTTAGGAAGACCTGGCAGCATGTATTGGGATGTGAAAATTTGTGATCAGCACTTCACTGACTTGTGGGAACTTCAGAAAGGAGCAAGTAATACTCCCTGGGGTTCTGGTGTTCGGATTGCTAATACATCTGATTTGGATGCTCATATTCGATATGATGCAGAAGGTGTTGTGTTGAGTTACCATTCAGTTGAAGCAGATAGTATAAAGAAATTAGTAGCTGATATTGAGAGGCTTTCTAATGCCAGGACATTTTCTCTGGGAATGCGAAAATTACTTGGCGTAAGGGCAGATGACAAAATTGATGAAGGCACTCCCAGCTCTGATGCGAAAGTAGGTACAAAAACTGACGCAGTGGACAAGTTTTCTGAACAATTGAGGAAGGCATTCAAAATAGAAGCTGTTGGTCTTATGAGTTTATGGTTCAGTTTTGGTCCTGGAGTTCTTGCTCGCTTTGTGGTTGAGTGGGAATCAGGTAAACAAGGCTGCACGATGCATGTTTCGCCCGATCAGCTCTGGCCTCATACGAAGGTGTGTTTTTGTATACATTTATGGATTTAGGTAACCATTTTCTGTGATGAGCTAATTTTTCTTGCATCTCGTTAGCCATTTAATAGTTTTCTGTCTATTCTCCTGGGAGGCCTATTACACTCTCCCTTACACTTAGTGTCGCTAATCCCTTTCTAAAATGTAGTAAATGCGCTGGCTGTTTTCTTTTTCTTTCCTATTGTATTTTCTGTTAGGTTGACAATGTTTTTCATCATCTGATCCTTTTTTTTTTTTTTTTTTCTTTCTTCTTTTGAACAGTTTCTGGAAGATTTTATCAATGGAGCTGAGGTTGCATCACTTTTGGATTGTATAAGACTCACGGCAGGACCCTTGCAAGCTCTAGCCGCTGCTACAAGACCTGCGCGAGCTGCTCCTGTTCCCGGAGTTTCTAGTGTTGCTGCAGCCCTCTCCTCTATTTCAAGACAGACTGGACATGCACCGTCTCAAGGTCACGTGCCTAGCATCACACTTGCAAATGGAAGTCAAGTTGCATCTGGTCCTACTTGTGGGAATGCTTCCTTATCTGTAACGTCTAATTCTCTTGCTTCTCAGAACCATCTTACTACTGCGATGTTAGCCGCCGCCGCTGCTGCTGCTGCTGCTGGGAGAGGTGGACCTGGAATTGTTCCTAGTTCATTATTGCCAATTGATGTCTCTGTTGTCCTTCGTGGTCCCTATTGGATCAGGATTATATATCGGAAAAAATTTGCTGTTGACATGCGGTGTTTTGCTGGAGATCAGGTCTGGTTGCAGCCAGCCACCCCACCTAAAGGGGGTCCATCTGTTGGAGGATCACTGCCATGCCCGCAATTCCGGCCATTTATAATGGAGCATGTTGCTCAAGAACTGAATGGCATGGATTCCAGTTTCCCCGGTGGTCAACAAGCAGCTGGTTTATTGAATGCAAATAGTTCCACTCCAGGTACGGGTCCTCTGCTTTCAGCATCCAATGGAAATAGGACCAATCTCCCACATTCCGCTGGGGTATCTCGTGCTGTAAATGCTGTTGTTGGTCTCAGCCGAATGGGAAATGCACTTCATGGAGGACCGAGTGCAAGTATTGTAAACTCCGGGTTGCGTAGAACTCCTGGCACAGGTGTGCCTGCTCATGTGAAAGGAGAACTCAATACTGCCATTATTGGGCTGGGTGATGATGGAGGTTATGGTGGTGGGTGGGTCCCTCTTGCAGCCCTTAAAAAGGTTCTTCGAGGTATTCTAAAATACCTTGGAGTATTATGGTTATTTGCACAGTTGCCGGAGCTTTTGAAAGATATCCTGGGTTCGATTCTAAAGGATAACGAAGGTGCATTATTGAATTTGGATCAGGAACAACCTGCACTGCGCTTTTTTGTTGGGTGAGTACATAATGTCGTATCAATTACTAGTAAGGTTATTACTTTTTGATTGAACAAATTGCCGTTCGTGATGCTTTCCTAAATAAGCTTTTCCTTGTCTTGTCAATGTTGGGTTGGCAGGGAAATCAAAACAATAATCTTAAGAAGCACGGATAGAAATAGATCAACCCAACATTAATTGAGCCTCTTTTCTCAAGCCAGTTCCTAAAGGACTTGTCCACATTCAAAGTTATGTTGAAAGGGTTGTATCCAGATTATATTGTTTAAAGTCGTTGTAGTCTCTGTGTCGATATTGGTCCTGATTTGAGGTCTCTACTTTCTGTGGTTGGAGAAAATGAGTTTTCAACCATACCTCATTCTGTCATCCACTCTTACACTTGGTTCGTAGTTTATGTGTGACGACGCTGTTACTACCCTTAAAGTGGCATTTCCATTGAATCCCTTTGTTCACTCTCCCTCACCATTGCCTTCACTCTCTTCTATCTAAACAGAAGGCGGCTCCACTTTTTCTTCTGCCCACTTGAAGTCTCCTTCCATTGCCCTTGTCACATTTTAGGAAACCCCCCCCCCAACCCACCCACCAATGGCTCCACCTCGAATAGGAATCAAAATTTCATCAATGATCGACAAGCATCAAAATATTTTTCATTTACTGCTTGTGACACGCCTTGTTTCTTTGTAAATTAGACCTCAGCATCGATGCTTAACATAAGTTTAATTCACATCGATAAAGAATGTAACTTATTTACTTGAGAAACCATAATATTTTAAAGGCCATTGAGGCTGTAGTCACTTTGTAGTGCCATTTGAGTTTCAGATTAATCTGGGAATTGGGGAGCAGATTTTGATATGCAAGCTATTGGAGGGATGACTGAAAAGTGATATCTATCCCAGTTGATCATGTTTAGAAGTTCTTAGATATACTGGTTAGGAAATCTAGTGGATCTAAAATAGTAGCATGTGTCTCACACCGGGAGGAATGTGTAAATCTCAAAATTCTTGTCAGCCAGAATGATCGGTTTCTTCCGGATGATTTTCTTTCCTGAACTTTATTTTGATTTTTCCTTTTTGGTGAAAAAATTTTCTTTGATCTTGTGATACTGATTGAAGTGCTTGTGTGTGGGAAGAACCTGTGTATGAAGCAATCAAAGTAAGATTTTTTTATGTATGTTAGGCAGGGCATTCATCTGTACTTTATTTGTTGCGTCCCATGTTGTGTTGAAACCTACTCCTTTTACAGGGGCTATGTGTTTGCAGTTAGTGTACACAGGGTTCAGCTTCTTCTCCAAGTCATTAGTGTCACTAGATTTCATCACTCTCAGCGGCAACAGCAGAATGCAGGCACTGGTCAGGATGAATTGACTCAATCTGAAATAAGTGAAATATGTGACTACTTTAGCCGCCGTGTTGCATCAGAGCCGTATGATGCTTCTCGTGTTGCTTCATTCATTACTCTATTGACATTGCCAATCTCAGTGTTGAGAGAATTTCTCAAACTTATTGCATGGAAAAAAGGCTTAGCTCAATCACAAGTTGGAGATTTAGCTCCTGCTCAAAAATCTCGCATTGAGCTTTGTCTTGAGAATCATGGAGGCTTCACTGTGGATGGGAAGTCTGGAATTCCCTGTGTGTCAAAGAGCAATATTTACTATGACCGAGCTCATAATGCTGTTGATTTTGGGCTTACTGTTGTTCTTGATCCTTCCCACATACCCCACATAAATGCTGCTGGTGGTGCTGCGTGGCTGCCATATTGTGTTTCTGTGAGACTAAGATACTCATTTGGAGATAATCCGAATGTATCCTTCCTTGCGATGGAGGGAAGCCATGGAGGTCATGCATGTTGGCTGCGAGTTGATGACTGGGAAAACTGTAAGCAGAGAGTAATCCGCACCGTGGAAATGAATGGGTCTTCAGCTGGAGATGTTAATCAGGGAAGACTCAAAGCTGTTGCAGATAGCATCCAAAGAACATTGCACGGCTCTCTTCAAGCACTAAGGGAGGGCGCTGGAGTTGGAGGAACAAACATTGGAAACTCATGATCTAAGGTAGCGCGATTGCTGTAAACTTTAGCAAAATACCAAGGTACTTCTCTTTTGTTGTTCTTGAGTTTATGCATGCTCTAAGAACTGTGGGAAACTATGAATGGCGTTTGAACGAATTTTGAATTAGAGAATGCAGATTGAAACTTAATACTGTGTACAAATTTTTGTTAGTAGTACTCGTCTAATTGTAGATAAGTCAGTTCGGCCTCTCCCTTTGTACAGTAACTCTTGAAAGGGCTTCTAGATTTGTTGAAACTGAACTGCAAGCGTGTAACCTGAGATAGAGGACAGGGCCAGATATAGAATGGGGGTCTTATTTTTATGCAGACTGGTGTAGGTTGTTTCATCTTCAGGGAATTGTCTGGAATCTGTAATATTCAGTTTTTGACAACTCTTTCTGAAAGCCTCCCTTAAGACTTCAGAGTTCAGACCCTTATCTTTTTTTTTTCTGCCAGAACTGAACAGCATCAAGTGAAAATGTATTATTTCTGTCTTCCATTTTGGATTTGATTATGTCGTTTTTCTTTTTTCTTTTTTCATCCTTTTTTTTGACTATTTTTTGGGGCAGAGGGAGTGTTATTTTGTTATTTGGACTGCCACCCATGGATGGTTAAACTCTGAAGACTTTATTGGTTATCGTTATTCAAGGGCTTGCGCGCCTTTTTTTTTTTTTTGTTACTGTTTGACTGTCTTGGATCAATTCGCCACCGGAATCTTCAAACACTGTAATATATATATTGACAACATGACATATTTGTTCACTACTAGTTTGACAGTACCATTATATAGAATTAAACCAGTGTATGAATATAAATATCATGGCATATTTATTCAATGTCAAGTCATAAAATATACAGACTTGACTGTTAGTTTGACAATACCATTAAACCAATGAATGAAAATCATAACGTGTAAAACTTTCAAAAGAAAATGGATACAGGAGAATCCTTGAATCTGTTTTCCAGATTTGTTTTATAATGCGTGTCTTTGTGGAGATCGAATCATGTGTAACATTAGTTGACCCTTATTTAACAGAAGGAAGGACGACCTTTCCATTATTCTTGTAAGGGCCTGCAAGAGTATCCAGGAGGACAAATCCTTACGGTAAAAAAGATAACGCATCAAAATGAGGAGACTCTCCATCTTCAGAGACTCAGGGTACAATGAGAGACCTTCCACAGCGATGAAGACGAGTTTGTTTCGTTTTCAATTTTCAATGACTCTAGCCGACAATGATGGAGCCGAGGTATATGAGCGGGAACGTACTTTTGTACACAACTCAAGAACTTGTTTGCCAAAAGGAAAAACAGAAGCATGTTTATGTAATTTATTATGCTATGTCGAGGAGCTCTCCAACTTGGATCGATTCTAAAATGCAATGTATCCAAACACCAATAAGATGTGGATCAAGTGGCATTTTCAAAATTACGAAATCTGTTTACTGTTTAAAAGAAAATGCAAAACAAGGTAAATGGAGAAGAGAGGAATAGTAGAAAGACTTTTTAAGTGTGTTCTTTTTCATTCACATTTGGCCTCTATTTATAGGCTTATGAATCTTTACATTGTAAGGTTATATTTAACTTCCATAACTTACGTAAATAAGATATGGTTAGTAAAGAAACATAGTAGTAATGAGAGTTAAACTTCAAGACAACTAAATACATTGAGTAAAAGACATCCACAATATGTTTCATAACACTCCCCCTTGGATGTTTGTTTGCGGAATTATTCCTCGTTAAAATCTTTACTATGAAAAACCCGTTGAGAAAAATTCTAGTGAAGGAAAAATAGTACACTATCCAAACGTGACACTGCCTCGTTAGAAACTTCTAGGAAAAATCCAATGGGATAAAAACCTTGGTCAAGGGAAAAAGAGTACAGTGTGTAGTCACTCCCCCTGTTGAGCACATCACTTGACATCTTTGAGTCGTCGCATTCCAATCTTGTGGACTAGTTTCTCAAATGTTGAAGTCGGTAATGATTTAGTGAATAAGTCTGCCAGGTTGTCGCTTGATCGAATTTGTTGAATAATGATTTCAACACTCTTTTGAAGATCGTGAGTATAGAAGAATTTGAGAGATATATGTTTTGTTCTATCGCCTTTGATATATCTTTCCACCAATTGATCAATGCACGCAGTATTGTCTTCAAACAAGATAGTAGGGGCATTCTTGTCTAAATGCAAACCACATGATCCTCGAATGTGATGAACAATCGATCTTAACCAGACACATTCCCAGCTTGCTTCATGAATTGCTAAAATATCAGCATGATTGGAAGAAGTGGCAGTTAGAGTTTGTTTCATAGAACGTCATGATATAGCTGTTCCTCCACATGTAAAAAGATACCCTGTTTGCGACCGACCATTATGAGGATCAGATAAATATCCAACATCGACATAACCAATCAGATCCAACTTAGATGTCTTTGAACAGTAAAGACCCATATCAATCGTAACTTGGAGATATCGAAATATTTGTTTAATACCATTCCAATGCCTTCGCGTAGGTGCAGAACTATATCGTGCTAGCAAATTCACAGCAAATGATATATCTGGTCGAGTATGACTAGCGAGATACATCAATGCTCCAATAGCAAAGATATGGTACTTCTGGACCAAGTAGTTCTTCATTTTCTCCACGAGGCTGGAAAAGGTCTTATCCTTATCAAGGGATCTTACCACCATAGGTGTGCTGAAATGGTGTGATTTGTCCATATAAAAGCGTTTAAGCGCTTTTCCTGTATACGTGGACTGATGTAGAAATATATCACTTTCTAAGTGTTAAATTTACAGTCCCAAACAAAATTTTTTCATTTCAAATTCTTGTTTCAAATAATTTGCAGCTTTTCTGACCTCTTCAGAGGTCCCAATAATATTTAAATTATCAACGTAAACTACTATAATTGCAAATTCAGATTCAGATCTTTTAATGAAAACACATGGACAAATGAGATCATTCTTATAACCTTCCTTTATCAAATCCTCGCCAAGGTGATTATACCACATTCTTCTAGCTTTTTTTAATCCGTACAGAGATTTACACAATTTAATTGAATAAAGTTCTCGAGAACTGGGATCTTGTCCCTTAGGTAATTGAAATCCTTCAGGGATCTTCATATATATATATATATATATATATTTCATTATCTAGTGAGCCGTATAAATAGGCTGTCACAACATCCACAAGACGCATTTCAAGTTGTTCAATAGCTGCCAAATTTAGTAAATATCTGAAAGTTGTTGCATCCACCACGGGAGAATATGTCTTCTCATAGTCAATACCCGGTCTTTGAGAAAAAAACTTGTGCGAAAAGTCGTGCCTTATATCGTACAATTTCATTATTCTCATTTCTTTTCCGCACAAATACCCATTTATATCCTAAGGGTTGCACATCTTTGGGTGTGCGTATTGCTGGTCCAAAAACTTTGCGTTTTGCCAGTGAATCTAATTCACCTTGAATTGTATCATTCCATTTTGGCCAATCATTTCTACCTCTTCATTCATCTACAGACCTTGGTTCATGATCCTTATTTTCATTCATAATGTTAATTGCTGCAGCATATGCAAACTTATCATCAATTTCTATTGCACATCGGTTCCATTTTTTTTCCAGTAAAGACATAATTAAATGATATTTCATCATTATCAACATTTTTAGATACATGAACTTCTTCTAGAAGTTTGTTATCTATTATGTCATTTGACTCTTCAGGAGTTTTAATTCTTGAGGATTCTTCGAGAATCTTAGTTACCTCGATTTTGCCATCTCCATTATTTACTCCTTTACGTTTACGAGAATTTTTATCTTTGAAACCAATTTGCCTACCACGTTTCATATGTGCCTTTAATTCAATGTTAGGGGTAGAAGGTCCTTCAGGGACATCAATTCTAATTGGAGCATTAGCAGCCGGTACATGCAACTTAGTTACACGTTTTAAGTCAGTAAAAGCATCTTGCAATTGATTTGCCAAACGTTGTACATGAATTATCTTCTGAACTTCAAGTTCACATTGGCATGTGCGAGGATCAAGATAAGATAATGTTGATTCATTCCAACTTATTTTCTTATCTGGTTGTTTAACTTCTCCCCCTAATGTTGGGGAGACTGACTCATCAAAATGACAATCATCAAAACGAGCAGTAAATAAATCTCCAGTTCTAGGCTCGAGATATTTTTTAATAGAGGGAGACTCATACCTAACATATATTCCCAACCTCGTTTGAGGTCCCATCTTTGTGCGTTGTGGTGGAGCAATTGGAACATAAATCGCACATCCAAAAATTCTAAGATGGAAAATATTAGGTTCCTGACCAAAAACTATTTGTTGGGGAGAATATTCTTGGTAATTTGTTGGCCTTATGCGAATTAATGAAGCCGCATACAATACAACATGGCCCCAAGCTGATATTGGCAACTTTGTTCTCATAAGTAATGACCTTGCAATTAGTTGAATTCGTTTGATAAAGGATTCTGCCATGCCATTGTGTGTGAACATAAGCTACTTGATGTTCAACTTTAATCCCAATAGACATACAATAATCATTAAATGATTGGGATGTGAATTCACCAGTATTGTCAAGACGAATTGTCTTGATAGGATTATCAGGAAAATGTGCTCTTAACCGATTTAGTTCGGCTAATAATTTTGCAAATGAAAAGTGACGAGTTGATAACAAGCACACATATGACCATCTCGTGGATGCATCAATTAAAATTATAAAGTATCAAAATGGCCCACAAGTGGGTGAATAGGCCCACAAATATTTCCATGTATGCATTCTAAAAACGCTGGAGATTCAAAGCGAATTTTCACTGGTGATGGCCGGACAATTAACTTGTCTTGAGAACAAGTAGCACATGAGAATTCATTTGATTGAAAAATCTTCTGACTCTTCAAAGAATGACCATATGAATTCTCTAGTATTTTTCGCATCGTAATGTAACTGAGATGGCCCAACCGGTCATGCCAAATGACAAACTCACCATAACTAGTA